ATTTCTGTCGTGTTTTAGTTCGTAGAAAAGAGGATATATTTTCAATTTAAACGTATCAGGGACATATAAAAGACCATCACAATGTCTGTGATCCATTCCCGATCCCCGGAGTCATTCCGTTTGCGATACAATTTACCAACGAAGGCTATCAATAGTTCAATCAGATTACATTTTTCAGATACAGTACCAGGGACATCGTAGTTGTACTGATATATAGAACTATCTGACGCATGACACGCAATCTTCTTACAGATCTTAGACTAAGATTGAAATAGCTTGTGTAGAAAACATATTTTGAAGTAACAAACGCAGTACACCATTAAACACGTTATATGTTGTGTATACTCGTATAAAGTAGCAGAAAATTTAAAACTAATAAAAAATTAGAAGGTTTAAGTTTAGGACTCAATGGATTTCGATGAAATTTGTTACATAAATTTATCATATAGTAAATTAACACATTTGGTACTTTTTTATATAATACAATTATATATCAAGTATATCAAGTTCATGAAAAATCAAATTTTAATAATTACCAATTATCTTCAGCAGTATTTATTATTAAAATCGTATATAATATACTGCTGTGTAATCTTGGGATAGAATAAGTTACCACTTTCTATCTCATAGGTATCGTAAGAGGCGACTAAGGGAACTTATTGGTCGAGGGATGAGCAAGACGTCCCTTTTAAAATATTACCAAAGTTTAACTACTATTGCCGGTCCACCTGTCAAAGGTGGCAACTACTAGAAAAACCCCTCTTATGGGAAAGGCTTATGTTCAGCAGTGGATAGCTTTTTTTCTTTAATCCATATTTTCTGTCGCTATTTTTCATACGACAACCTTCTTATCTTGTATATTCAACGGTATATAAAACATTTTTTTATGATGATAATAATATTCTTACACTATCCTATTTTGATCAACCAAAATAAAGTTAATAGTCAAAAGGTCAGACTGTTATGCAACTTAAAAGGTCAAAGAAGCTTACAGCCCACGTGATGAAAAATGGTAACTTTTACCTATAGACATAAAGAGCACAACGCTGCTCCAGAGGACTAGTGTTTATTTTCACTATTACATTTCACAATTTAAAATTCAAATACAGAGATATAAATACAGCGCTACTTTACGACAGACACTCGAATGAGACAGAGATACATTTATTTGCTTTTAATATGCAAGATTGAACTATCAATTTTAGGGTTACAACTTCCAACACTTATTACATTAGGTCACATGTAAGCGATTCAGTTTGCTTTTGTCGAGAAACTATCTCCGGTACACCATAAAATGTTTTATGGTCAATACAAAACTTGTTTTTATAGTGTGTTTATATGTTTCCAGCTAAAGAATATACGTAGAAGATACGTTATAGTGAGTGATGTTGGTGATTCTACGCGTTCTTGTTTATACGAATAACGCTTTGCTGAATTCAAGTATAAATCAAAATGAGGTTTCTAGTCCAGAGAAATGGAAATATTTCTGGGAGTATGCTTTTTTAAGTATATATATAAATCAGAACGTATTATTTAGTAGATACTATTTAACCCCAAGTAAAACATAGGTATAAATTGTAGACAATAAAAAATGTGTACTTATATATATATATATATATATATATATATATATATATATATATATATATATATATATATATATATATATATATATAGAGTAACTTTTGAGTTTCTTGCGGGCCCCCCTAAACCCTGCAGTATATTTAAAAAATTACGATTTAAACAAATCTATTTATACAAAGATGATTTGAATTTGAATTTTTAGATAGCTATTTTTTCGCTTTTAAATAGATATTTTTAATCGTATTTGTAATAAAAATTCAATCAAGTCTCATTAATTATTCTCATTTGGAAAGTTTGATTATTTAAATTGTCTTTTACTTTAATTAATTATTACATAATAGCTTTTGCGTTACGTTACATTATATAAGAGAGAGAACTTAAATACCTTTAGAAAATGTAAGAATTATTTTTCTTTTAAAACTTGCCTCTAAAGATATCCACTGACTAAAGTTATTTTTTTATTGCAGAATAAATATTTATTAATTAGTTTTAAATATGTAAAAAGTAAAAAAAAAAACTTGAGGACCACTTCTATAGAACGTATCAAAGTAAAACATATACCAATTTTTTATTTAGTGTTAGAATAAACATACATATACGACATTTTTTTTAAATTATTGTTTTGGCTTATATTGCTACTATGATAATCTCTAGCATCATGTTTTTTAACATTCTCCATAAGTACCCATTTTATTATATTAAATTTAATAATATTACAAAAACAAATGACAATTTTAAAATTAAATAAATAAACAAAATCTAAACAAGGTAAAGTAAAAAATCATTAGACAGAATTCACTTTATTGTTACATTTAAGATATTTATTTTGCTTCCGTAGTTAGACTATCCTTAAGTGAAATAAATCTTGTTTTCTTCACATTAACATTAAGACAAATTGAAAAGGAAATTGTAGAGCAAAGAAATGATAGGATTTCGCTGTCTCTTTGAGTAATCACAAGCTCCTTTTTCGGCTTTTTTTTTTCATTACTTCAATTAGGATTAGTTAAATTGGAAACTGTTTATATTTTTTTAAGTTAGATCGTTTCCAAATTTTAATTACTTACATTAGTACGTAATTTTGTATTACGTATGGGGTAAATTATTCATATATTCGTTGTATATTTTAAATTTTTTAAACCCTAAACACTAATAATATAATTAAAGTTTCTATTGCAAAATATTATTAATATATTATACAATACAATATATATTATACAATGGCAGTGCATAGGGGTATCATGGACTAAACTGTATACTCTGTTATGTCCATGGTACTGCTCATGTCTATAGGCGACTGTTACCACTTTCCATCAGGTGGGTTGTCAGCTTGTTTATCAATTTAAGTTACATAAAAAAATACAACTGTAAGAGTTCTAAACTCTTTATTGAATAAATCCCAAGAAAAAAATCACGTCGACAAGTTATATGCAATATCGTTTAATTTAAAATTCGATGCTTCACAGTCAACTTTTAATTAGATTTCGAATGAATATAGCATAACTTTTAATAACATGAAACATAACTTTTGATATACTATGAATACCTTATAATCTTATTAATATTATAATAAATGTAAAACTTTATATGTTTGTTACTAAATCACGCTTAAACGGTTGAACGGATTTGAATGAAATTGGGTATATGGATAGGTTGTTATCATAACTCAATCCACATTTATGCACGTGATTAAAGCTTCAGGCAAAACTTAGTGTTAATGTACATATTGCGATGAATCCTTTGAAAATAACTTTATTTGATTATTATTGGAAATAGTACTAGTGAGTACAACATCTTGTATATTCTATCATTTCTTATAGTACTAAATGACATATATCAGTCACTAACTGCCCACTGCTGAATATAGGTCTTCCCTTTATAAGGAAAGTTTGGTCAGTAGTTCAAATATTAATTAACTAACTCCTACTAAACGAATTAATTAAAAACGGAGCACCAAAGAAACAGCGGGCAAGCAAGAAACTCATCTAAATAAACGACAACAAAGAACAAACAAGGTGAACAGACGCGGCATTCGTACCGCATAAAGCAATGGTATACAATACAATTTCTGTCACCGACGCCTCCACACAATACGTGTCGTCCTTTTCAGGTCACTTCCAGTGGTAACGTGCTCAACAAATAATTATGCGCCGGCCATTGTGTTAAAAATGTCCGCTAAGTTGCATTAGCTCGGTGCTTTGATTTTTAAACGTGTTGGAATAGCACGCGGACAATGACGGTGTTATTGAGGACGGTTTCGATTGCTCGCATTTCATTTGATGCATTATTATGAAATGTGCTAATCCAGACTAACTCCTTTATTCATAAAAACTTAAACGTTCTATGATTTGTTTTTAACTATTAGACTGTTTAAAATAAAAGTTAAAGAAATAATAGCTAATTAAAATTTTCAAATGTTTATTTATAACTTTTATTAATCCTTATCCAACTAAATAGTTCTATATATTATAAAGTGGAGTGGATTATGTATATGTAAATTTTCTTTAAATTATTCGAATTCGGGCCTTTTATTTAAAAATTACAGTGTGTATCTTAAGAATAGTGCCGCGGCGTAACTGAATAGATCTTACAATTTATATTGTTGTTATCCGCTATTGGTCTAACTACTAATTTAAAATACTATTTTAACTTTCTATCTACCCGTAAAAAGCCAGGTCGGGGCTTTAGTATAATATAAAATAAGCAATGGTCAATATTTAATATTATTACATATTTTTAAGTGCCATATACAAATTATGTTTCTCAAACTATGATACTCTGTCTTATGAGATACCAGACAAAAAAAAATTATATCCTTATCATTTATTACACAATTTTTTACTCTACTTAATAATACTAATAATGAACTCTTTATTGCACCAACAAACATAAAAATGTACAATGTTAATTAAACAATTCAAGTGAGATACAGTTGCATAAAGAACAGTTTACAATTTTTACAATTTATATTGAAAGAGAAAAAAGTTTGCATTACCATCAGCCCCTAAACTAGGCCAGACCGGTTTCTTCCGATTTCCAGTTTATAATATTAGTATATGCTGTATGTGTTGATTATGTTGACTTAATACCATTCTATTTAAATCTGCTTAAAATTAAGGTGTTATTAATTTTATGATTTTCATCATCTCGTTTAAAAATAACATAAATTTTGTTTAATATTTATTTATATCTATTTTAATATTAAAAATAAATCTTATGATCTGTTTACTTATAATATATCTAGAAGAAATAACTGCTATCTTGGAAATATTTGCAAATAATTCTTACCTGGATCCATTACTTCTCTGTTTTATATATTTGTCAGTATTTTTTTATTTATATGTAGGTAGACAACATCCTTTTGATGTACTATTGGTAAAGCTAATAAATTTTCTAATAGACACTTTTTTCCTTTTCAGATGTGACCCAATCGCGCCAATGAGTGACAATTGTAAAGGAATCATACTCGTGAACAATGTCGACCAGAACGCCGGTAGCTAGACAAAGGACGATGGACGTGTCGAAGAGTTGTTCGTGAAATTGCACAAAGTAATAGTAAATATGTCGATAAAAGCCAGTGTGGGTTAAATGAAAAGGGAAAAAATGGGTGGCAAAGGTTTAGGGGGTGAGGTGATGGGCTTTCTCCTCGCCGTGGCTTTCTGCATCATTTGCCCAGAATACGGTGAGTAGTTTTAGCACTTTATGTGCTTTTATTGGAATATAAAATATTGTTTTCATCTTTTATAACAAATTTTAATGTTCGATAATGGATATACAGGTATATTTTGGTCTGAGTTATATGGATTTTTTTTTGTTGTAAAAAAAATGGCTAAGTCTGAGTTGAACTCCCTATGTTATTTGCTGATAATATAGTTTTCTTTAGGTGAAAGAATTTAAATTAGTTTTAAGTTTACTGAGTAATTTTTAAGTTTATCCATTACGTACAAATAATCAAATATTTCCGGTTTATAATTTTAGTGTAGATAAACGGCTGTATATATGTTTTCATTATGCTGACTTAAAAATTTGATTTTTTTTTCACGGCTTTAATGGATAGTAGATTTGACTACTTAATAATAATTTCAACTTAATAACTCCATACATTCCTGAGAAGAAGCGTCTTGTCATACGGCCAGGCAAACAGACGGACAACAAAGTGATTTTAAAAGGGATTTGTTTTTATTTTTGAGGTATTAAGCTAATAATGCTTCAATAGTATTATAATTAATATGTGAATAAAATAGAAGTAAAGACCATTAATTAAAAAAAGAATTATTAAAATCGGAAGAAGATTATGTTAATAATATATATAAGATTGTAACCAGGTCATGTCGGATAAATTTTTATCAAAATGCATTTAGTATACTCAACGGAATTCCACGTCCATTGATGTACACATCATTAACAAGTCCTTACTATAATTATTTATTTATTGACTACCCTAGTGGGAGACATGTGTGACAGATATGTATGTACAAGTATACATGGAATGCGCTGATCTCTGACGGTCGGTGCAAGATTCTTGGTTATGATAGTAAATGATAATGGAAGAAAGATTATATATATGCTAATATAAATGCATTTAGTATCGACAACATGTGCGTGACATCTTTGTTATTACAAGCGTCCATAAGCTACGGTAACCTCGTTTACCATCAGATGCGCCGTATGCTTGTTTGCCATCATAGTAATATAAAAAAAAATGTATAGTCGTGGTAAGAGCTCACTAATTATTTATATTACTTGTTAATTTATAATATTATATATATATATATATAGTCCAGAAACTCTGCAAAGTTTTATAAACGCATTTGCTACGGTTGTAAGTTAAGATCTGAGTAAAAAGTATTCTGTATGTTGACAGAATACTTTTTACTGAGGCAAAATGTCTTATTCTTAAGGGAAAATACAAAAACTAGTAACGTGAACAACATTGCTGAGACAACAGTTAGTTACAAATAAAAATACTAGTTTATTTATTTAATCTTCTTGTTTAAAGAGTTCTCGTAACAAAATCAAGTTATAAGTGTTACTTTGTTTTGTATGTCTACGATCATAATGTTACTTTAAAATCAAATTTATTTAAATACCAGAGGGAGACTTTGTACAAAAGTCGTTTGCTAGGGCATCTCTGTCCCATTCGTGTTTCTACCGTGAAGCAGTTGTTTGCATGCCTGTGTTTCGGTTCGAAGGGTGGGATATGGCAGTGAATATACAGGGTACAGAGGAATAACACCTGAGTCCTCAGGAATGGCAACGCAAGGGGGGGGGGGGGGTATCATGAGCGAGACAGTATACTCTGTTATGTCCATGGTACTGTACATGTCTATAGGCGACGGTTACCACTTTCCATCAGGTGGGCCACCAGATTGTTTGCCATTCTATGTTGTATAAAAGAAATACGGCTGTAATAAAAGAAAAAATACATGCTATTTGTTTTCATATATCATATCAGCTTTTAATTGTACACTACTGGAGTGTTATGCCAGTAGTTGCCATGTTTGTCAGGCGGATTGGCAACTGTAATTAGGTCTTAGAGATATTTTAAGAGGAACGCTGCTGTCCAATACTCGATCGTTAAATCCCCTTAATCGCTTTTTATGACACGTTTAAAGAAAGGCGTGGCTTATTCTATTCCTGAACCACACGGCAAATGTTTTCATATAAAGAGTTTTAAATTTATACCTTTTGTTGAAATAGAATGTGCAGTTTCATTTTTTATTTTTCGATATATTCAATACAATACATAGTTGTTCTTGATTTTATTGTATAAAATTCATTAAAAATGAATTGTTATGAGTTCAGAGAAAGTGGAATATATTATGGATATTACAATAAATATTACAAACGGAATATAATAAATAAGAGAGAACTCTCTGGGCCTATTTTAATACTTTATAACAACAAAGGGGCATTAGGGAATAATTTAAACTGGACATAGTATTGCCTCTAGCGCTTATACCTACAGAATAATAGGATATAAATAGTCTGAAACGAAATGTTGGTTACAAAACATCCTTTGGTGGGCGAAAAAGTCACTTAAAGTACGGAAAGAGGAATAATTTTCATTTGTAAATATGAAACGCTTTGTACCTTTGTCATTGTATGAATAACAATCTTAAACAATTTCTTTTGAACTTTCCAACACAATATTTTAGAAACCAACAGTAAACACAGCACACTGGTTGTACAATTTATACTTTTTCATTTTATTGTTCAATTTTATTACATCATCATCATCATTGTTTCAGTCATTTATTGTCACCTGTGAACATAAGCCTTCCCCATAAGGGGAGTTTTGTCAGTAGTTGCCACGCTTGGCAGAAGTATTTAGATTGTATTTCTGTAAATAATACATATTCTATATGCTACGTTAGAATACAACCTATTCTTGAACTAAATTTCATTTAAAATCGTTCAGTAGTTTTTGCGTGAAAGAATAACAAACACCCATCTATCCAATCCATCAACAAACAAACCAAATAGGATTATTTACGATAAAATGTTTTCTTTTATTATGCTGTTTAATACAAAATAATCGAAATAGTACAATAAAATAATAATAATAATATATTAGAATAAACTAAAAGAAAATGTATACCAGGTCGTACATTTATATAAGTTTCAGTAATGTATTTAGAAAGTTCTACAGATAAGTAATTGCTAGGATTAAATTGATTGTTTCATTGATCAGAAAGTATAGCAAATTTTAAGTTGCAATATCGACAAGAGGCTTAAACTCATGGATTTGGGGAAAACCAATTAATGAAAGTACAATTTAATACTTTAATATTTTATCTCTGAAATATTGCCACTTCGTGATCATTTATTTGAGTAAGGGAATAAAATCAAAGGTATTACATAATTACTACGGACAACTATTGAGCTTATAATATTTGTACTTAAACAATTTAATGTTTATTATTAAATTATATTATTTAAAAAACATTTTTAAATGAATATAGATTAAAAATATATTTGAAAATTCATGCATAATATTTTATTTATTTATGCATTACTAGCTTTTAATCACAACTTCGTCTGTAACATGACCGGGGTATGTTAATTGACTGGATTATGATTTATTATAAGGTCTATGTGTTATAAGGATATGTATTAGTTATAAGGTCTATCTGTGTACTAAATTTCATTATAATTTGGTATTTATATTGTGTATTTTATATTATATACATATATATTTATATTATGTTATAAATATTACCTGTCCTATCTTTTACATTTATAATATCGATAGGAGTGTAGAATTGGTACAGTCATACTTTTTTTTTAATTTATCTTTGAAAAGTCTACAAAGTAAAATTTTTACGCCTCACCTTTTTCCAAAAGACAGTATGTATTTATAACTTTAAATAGATAATCCAACCCTTAATATAGTAACTGGGATTTTATGGAGAGCATGTTCCGTTTCATTGATCTTTAAGACTTCCTGGGATGCAAATATTGTATAGTGATGAAATATTGGCCCATATTTTTGCACGTACTGTATTTTATGGGCTTTGTGTGCCTGAAATCACGCAACTATTGTCCCTGTAAGAAGCACAAAAATCCCTTTTATATTTTGATAGCGACCCGCCATACTTACCTGTCATGAATCTCTGAAAAAGTATATACAGATGTACACAGGTATATGCTATTTTTAACTATAAAAAAAATTTTAGAAGAAAAAAATATATTACCATATGCGTATTATCATTTCAGCCATTAAATATATATAATATATTATTTCAACCTTCCCCATAAGGAGAGTTTTGTCGACAGTCGCCATGTTTGATAGGCAAGTTTGCAACAGCAGTTAGGCTTTTAGAGATGTTTTTAAAAGGACGTTGCTGTCTATCCCTCTACAATTAAATTTCTTTAGTCGCCTCTTACGACACCTACAGGAATGGCCTATTTTGTACTGGGATCATTTGGATAAATGCATATGTATATTCATTTAATACAATAGACGAAAAAATATCAGTATGATAATACTATACTAGAAGAAAATAAGCAGTGAATGTCTCAAATAATTACAATGACTATAACGAAAATGATGAAGAAATTATTATTCATGAAACATACTCGAAATAATATCATGTCTAACAAAAAGAGTAATATTTAAAATAAACATTATAACGGCTTAGTGGAATCATAATAATTACATTAACAGGCAAAACTGGGCATTAAGAGAAGCACTCTCAACCCCAGAGCTGTAATAACCACTTCAAACCATCTCCAACAATATATTTGATAAATATCAGTTGGAACACAAAAGGAAGTAGTCGAAACTTCGCCTTAATTTTCTACGGGGAGTGTTTATGTTAGTTGTTTTATTAAAACGTTCCAATGTAAGCTAACAATAAGCCGACAAATATAGGTCTATGCTATTTTCTCGTCCACAAAGACTAACCGTACTTCCAAATTGTTCTGAAACCCAATTATCCTGGGTCGAACCCCAAATTTTCGGAGGGCATACTGCTAAGTTCCTTTCAAAAGTTAGCTAACAAATTTAAGCGAAACACAACTACGAGTAGTTTTGTATTTACAGGCAAATTTTGACCCACTAAATGTACTATTAGGCAGGTATATCGTTACTGGATTAGCACAAGTGTACTTGTCTTTGAAATTCAAATTGTCAATGGCTCATATTGTTTTACAGTAGATATTTTGGATTATCTCTGA